ATAATTCATGTATATTTATGTGTATTTCACAAAAGGAAATAAGTGATTTAATAGGATTCATCAATTAAGTCCCTGTTGACAGGTTCATAATAATTACCCAAACAATAGGATTAAGCAGTGCATATGTTTTATAGAATTCATTGCAGAGAAGGGAATTTTTACCGGAGTGTTAGTAGTACTATATGTAGATAGTCCTAACAAAGACATCCTTATTAGTTTTGAAATGCCGATTTTCCTATTTTTGCCATGTATTAATGAACAACATTCTAGAAAGCACTATGAAACTAGTAGGAACAAGACCTAAATCAGACATTACAGTGCATTGCACTGGATTCATTAAAATATTTAGAAAATATTGAGAGATTATTTAAACACCAATTAAAGAAAAATAATTAGATTTCAATATTGTCTTCTCTGGAGTACAGGACGAGTTTGTAGCCTACTGGTGTTATGCGAACTTGGTTAAGGACTTATAAACTACCATTACAACATCACGTCATGGTCTTTTTTCCCCATTACAGTATCACAAGTCAGGTATTTCTGGCGATATTCTTTAATTTTGACCAGTATTTTCTGAGTTGTGGTGAAGATTTTGATAGCCAAAGTAGAAACTAAAACAGGTATAAGCTTGCCCCGATGATATAGCCATAATTACAACTCAATGTATCTGAAATAAGACTAAGCTCACAAGGTTCATAAATTTAAGATCCACAACAGCAATCTAGGTGTGTTGAGACCTATCATCTCTTTATATTCTCAAATTAGGCTTAAAAGGTGCACACAGTCACTATATATTGTGGGATTCTATTGTGGGCAATAGCACAGCAAGAGCCATATTGCAGATCTGTGAAACTGAATATCGCTGTTATCTCAAACACTGCACTACCTCTTAGCTGTAAAGATTATAACCCTTATTTTGCACTCAGCTTTTTCCATCTTTGAAACAACCAAGTATATCTCTCTATGTACATGAAAGTGAATAAAAGAAATTACAATAAGAGGCATAAAACGTTTTGTCACTATAGTACAGTCTATGAGATAAGAACATTTACTTCTACAGGTCCATACCTCATACTAGAAGACATCTCTTACTGGAAGACTCCTGTAACCTCAAAAATGTACTCTTATTTTTTTTTTAAGTAAGATTAATGAAGTACGGTCTCTTCTTACCAGACAGGAGTATTTATCTTTCCTACTTGGGTGTAGGACACAAAGGTCCATACACCAAAAAGCTCTTAAAGGAAGTGCCTCCAAAATGAATAGCTCCAGATGTGCATGCGGTAGCCGTACAACCATGCAGACTCATCAAAACTGATTATTTCTCTCTCCCACATGATTTCTTCTCCCTCTGCATGCATGCATAAATGCCTTCATTTTATTTAAATAGACATACTGCACCCAGGGATCGTAAACATCATTGTCTGTAGAATTTATAACATTGGTGTCCATGTTTCCACCATTTCATCATATTATTTATTCACTCAAAACTCTCTTTCGGTATGAATTATAATTGTGCATTTTATATTTCAAAGGAACTTTAATCCAACTATAACTTTATAACAAGTATGATATAAATACTGGCAGGTGAGACAAATTAGTGCGGCATCCATACTGAGCAAGGGTCGCGGTGAGAATGGATGCAAGGCAGGATATACCCTGAATGGGATGACAGGGCACACACACAATCACACAATGACAAGCTTGTACAGGGGACACCTTAAAAAACACTAATCCGATTAACCAAGATGGTGTGTTTTTGATCTGTAGGAGGAAACTGAAGAAGCCAGTGAAAAAGCATGCAAACCTGAGGAGCATGCAAACTCCACACATAACCTAACCTAGCATGAACTGAGACAGAGACCACGTGACAAAGCCATGTCTCATACACTAATTGTTACATGTACACAAATAACCACCCAAAAAGGACTTATGAAATAGTGCAAGTAATGTCCCTGTTTGAGCAGAAATGTTTTCAATTTTCTGAGTACATTGAATTTAAAATTCAATTTTGAATTTGCTTTTTACATGCGCAATTACTAATACATTATTACTCATAACATAAAAAATATATATTTCCAGCACCAGCAACTACTTGCATTATACCACTGTTAGATTTAAAACAGCATACTGTATATAATACACCACTGCAACTAAAAAACACAATGTCAGAAATCAGAAATGAGAATTCCTCATTTTTTTCACTGGAGGTACATCTGAAATTAAATCAGTGAAATTGCCCTTCACATTCCTTTGAGAACAGAGCCTTGAAGGACTCTTTTCAATAAAAGTTCAGGTGCTCAACATGACAGGACTACGTTTAAAAATCTTTTGGAATTACACTCTGAAAATGAAAAAACAATGGAAGGTTGAATTGTTCTGGTGAAATTATAGTTCTTTTCAAAGAAAAACATAATACAAATATTTTGATGTCATTTTTGCCCAACTAAGAGGCCTAAAGCACAGAAGGAATTTTTAACACTCACATTCGGTTTGCTTTGCTTGCAAGAACAAGAACTTACCTCCACTGTTCCATGTATTATTATTACATCTTTGCCCATCTTCTGTTTTCAAACCTAGCAATGCGTTTGCCACTTGAAGCACAACTTTGTCAATTAATTCACGAGGAAGATGAGCACAGTTTCTAACACATTCAATCTTCTCTCTAGGCTGGAATCCAGCTGCCCAGTTCCCAGTGGCACAAACTTGCTTGTCAGTGTCATGGTTAATTTCTTTTGCAACATCATCCATATGGGTAGTGACATTAAGGCAATCAACAGTGGCCTGTAGGTGAGTAGTTTCTCCAGCACTTTTTCCATGGTTAGCCATTGCTTGGCAGGCCAGTCTTTTCTTAATATACTGGGTTCTTTGATCATCCACCAGGGCTTCTTGTGAACAGTCATAGTTTCTAGTCTTTCCGATAAGACACACCTAATGAAAAATTAAGGGACAGAAAAACTTTTAATTCAATGTGTGCTTAAAACAGTTAGTGTTAACAGGAATCTTAATAGGAACAAGTAAAGGATTATTCCATGCTGAAAAGAGAAGAAAAGAAACACAACGTTTCGACTGTGGAGCCTTCTTTCGGTGTCAAACCCAAAGAAGGCTCCACAGTTGCAACGTTGTGTTTCTCTTCTTCTCTTTTCAGCATGGAATAATCCTTTACTTGTTCCTTTGCAGCCTACGCATGCTGACGCAGCTACCTACTTGAAACACTTATCTTAACGCCTGGGATGTTTTGCAGGCATTTGAAACTTAATATAGCACAGAGTCTCTTTTAAAGTTAAGTGAATGACGCAAAGACCTAAGAGGGTGAAGTTAAACTTACTCATATTACCCCGCTGTGAAAGTATTAACTATAAGGTCTACTTTTGTGACACATTTTGCAGCTGTAACAAGTACTAAAATGAACACTCATGACCAACTCTTTGCAAAGGAGTACTATACAGGTCTGTGAGAATGCTACATTCTTAAGTTAAACATTTATATACATTGCAATATATTTTTATGCAGATATGTTTATTAAATATTTTCTAGGTCATACGTTTTCCCTCTCTGTGATAAATTCTGAGTGGGGTCTCTCTGTCGTGAATTCTAGATATCTAATAAACTCATGAAGATTTTTTAAATGAGGAGGACATAATAAGCACATTTCACAATGGCAGGTGCTTAGCAATTACAGTCTCATTACACTTTCCATCATCTACAATAAATCGATTAATAAATCATCCACTTCTTGCCTAAACCAGCCGTACATCTTGTTCTTCAAACAGTGACTGATAATCATCGAATTCATTTTAACAAATGAGCAACATATGATTATCAAGAGAATGCATCATCAGGGCTAAGGTGAAATAAAGAGACACGCAGGCTATTATGTCACAAAGCAATAGACATCAAAGACAAGTAGCTTTTTCTACACTCCTCGTGAAACTCGATCTATATACCACATCAACGTTCTTATTCACCCGCTTTGTTGAAGGGATTCTGAGACAGTCTTCTTCCACTGTAAATCCACACACACGGCTCACTTCAGCTATAAAATCAATATATTCTTTGTACTGGGACTTTTCACTATGCTGCCGGCTGTACTTCCCGTAGAAATCAAAGAAGCAGCAGGGTAGAACAAAGTACCGACAGAAATAGGAGGACCTAAAGTTGAAGACATTTAAATGAAGGATTAAGAAATACACTTGTTTTACTTTGCACTGCATCTAAGCAAGGCTAACATTTTTTGTAAATAATGATCTTTGTCTCATTGAAAAAGTCAAAAGCACCATATGTTAATAAATATCCATGAATGAGTCATTCAAAATACACTTCTTCAACATTCATGGTGAACAGAAATAATAAACAAAAAACATATACAAAACAGAACCAGTAAATAACAGAAAAAAGGGAAATGCAGACTGATTTTACAGTATATTGTATATCCTTGGGTTGCCACGTTTTGTCATTAAAGCCTTAAGAATAAAACTCTATAGCACCACCTGGTGCCGGAAAGATGTTTAATAAATAGAACAAGTAAAAAAAGTCAATCAAATGCTCAGCTGGCTCTATAAAACTACTCATCATCTGATTACATGCCTGGCAGCCATTACAGGTATCCATGGTGTTAGCTCATCAGAGTGGTTTCCGATCAACCAGTCCGCTTCTTGGAATAAGAAGCTATCACTTGGGGTGATTGCACATTCCTTTAAAAGAGAGAACATGAAAACATGATGTACAGTATTAGAGTATGAGCACAAACAGCACTATTGTCGTTGTACCACACCTGTTACATGGGTGAACTGGCAAGCATTATTCACCACTTAATTCTTTTTTCACTTTTCAGATCTTATTGGAAGAAAACAGGCCTTTGAAAATTGAAAAGCATTAGGTATTGCTGAAAATCTATGAATTTCAAAACTACATTCTCACAGATTAATATGCAGATGTTTTGTAATTATGGAACTTTTTTTTTTTACAAAACACCAAAGCACCGTAAAAACAAAATCATCAATCTATCTGGTCCATTGAACAACACTGCAAACACGAACTGTGTATTGTACTATTACTATTACGTAAAGAAGTGAAAACATTTTTTAGTTAGCATCCTTTTACTAATAATATTTTTCATTAACATAATGGCTTGTAATATAAATGTAAACCAACAACCACTTTAAAACAATTTGATAAGAATTGACAAACTATACTTCAGTGCTGGTATAGAAGGCAGGTTTAACAAAAATCCACCCCCCTTCATACATACAGTACACGCAGACCCTTGTGAGGATGGGGCATACACATAAAAGGCTTTTCTTCAACTTTTCTAATAGTGAATAAAGAAATTGCAACTGTGCAAATGAAATAATATGCTCTCAGGAATCTGCATATATTTTATTGTAACATGCAGACCATCAGACAGGGTTCCCAGAACGAGCAGTTACTACTTTTCCAAGCAGTCTGGATTTCTAGCAATGTGCTAATGAGCACGTCTGGAGTGCTAGTGATCTGGGTCAGCTCCCGAGCCCCAGACCTACCCACATCCTGTCATGCATCCACCCTGTGACAAAGATACATGAGGCCAATGTTTCTTTGGAGATCACAAAGGCTCAAGTCTCCACACATTGCAGACCACTGCGGGATTCATTAAATAATGCATGTCCATGAATGTTCTACAACCCATTTACAATCCTGCTGATAAGCCAGAGAGAAATATGCATAATGTCCTTTTTTCCCATCTAAGTGTACAGATCTGTAAATGGATACACAGTACACTAGAACTATAAGTCTTTCAGACATTAGGATTAAGACCTAAATTAAAAAAAATAAACTCTAATATCTACTTAGATTCCACTTCCTTTACCTCAAGATGGGTTTGGGGGCCATACATGTCCCAGATCTTTCTTTTCCTCACATCAATACCCCTTCCAGGATGCTGTGAAATACATCAAATTTAAGTTTGGCTAGAATGTAAGTGCAATATTAGCATGTTCTGTGTTAAGTAAACCAGAGATCTATGCCCTTTGAACTTCTTTCCTCAATATTTGTCACAACTGAATGTAAAGTAATACAATGTTACGGTACGATGTTTAAGTCATCTGGGCTCAGGTCAAATAAAGATCGTATCTAATAAATTTCAGTCAAACTAGTTGACACATATACAGTCATCTCCAGAATTATTCAATCCCAGATGAAATGGGAACAAAATACCTCACAGAAATGTGTACAGATTGGATAATATACCGTTTTGTTTTGTTTTGTTTGTTTGTTTGTTTGTTTTTGGGGGGGGAGTCATACTGTTAATCTTAATAGAATCACAGATAAAAAAAGTTATTTTTGTCATACTTAAGTTTAGAAAACATGAGGGTCATATTTATTCACATCCCTGTAGCTACTACTTTTAGTGTGCCATTAGGTTCTGGTGCTTCCGAGAGGGTGTGTTGACTGCTACTCCCTTAGGGTCCCATGTGTGCTCTAGGTTAGGAACCACCTCTATTCAATTGGACTGTGGACTGGACATTGACATGGCATATTTTGTGTGTTGTTCTTTGCCAATTTAGATGTTTGCTGTGAATCGCTGTCATGGAATATCCAATTGTGGCCAAGCCTGAGCTTCTCAACATGAGCTTCATGTTTTAAAATTCATTAAACTCATGAGTATGTGAAGAAAAGCTCAATTTTGCATTTCATCTGACCATAAGACCGTAGATCCAATTGTCATTCAGATGTTATTTGGGAAATCTGAGTTACTCCTTTTTATGGTTTTCTCTTAGAAGATGTGTCTTCCATACAAACTGTCCCATGAATGTTATTTTCATGCAGGCAATATGGAATGACACCTTCTATACTTTGCATCCTCCAAAAAGTTATTTTGTATGGTAAAATCTCCAACTGCTCCCTTTTGGATTTACAGTTACTTACCAAACCAAGTGTCCCCCAGCCCAAGGCCACACACCTGGTCCCTCATCCAGACAGGATTGCCTATATTACAGCAGCCTCAAATGATTTAACACTAGACACTACAGTACTTGCACCCTTATATAGACAGGACTGCCATTATAGCATTATAGCAAAGTGTTTTAGTAATGGACTACATTACATTTTGTTTTTTTTAGTTTATTATTTTATACCCACCTCCCAGCTTGTGAATGGAATTCAATTACGGCAGTTGTATAGCATGAATTTGGACTATACAATGCCGTTATGATCATGGTAAGATTTTTTAAATTGATTTAAGCAAGTCACATTATCCAACCCATTACACAGTCTGTAAGGTGTTTTTTATCTATTGTATGTTGTGTACAAATAAATAAGGAGGGAACTGTAGTTATGTTATGCACAGTATTTGATGAAAAAGTGTTTATGAACATGGAACAGTTTTAGGATTTCTGAAATGCAATGAGTTACTAGTAGTATTATAAAATATAAATTCTGCTATTAGCTCTCGAGCTAGACATGTGTTACATACTCCTTCATTGCTTAATATGTGAACTAAAAGTCCATTTCCACAACCCAGGTCTACAAAGGACTGTTTTTCCATTATGCCCTTTTCTGTACGTTCCTCTTCCCACAACACCTAAACAACATAAGAGAAAAGACAATAATATAAGATCATCAGTTGGACACGGCAGTATATTTTGCACTTAAGACCTTTGTATTTAAAACAGATACAAGTAGCAAGGGATGCCTTATTTAAGAAAACAACGTGCATTGAAAACATCTGCTCATGCCGAGATATTTAAATTTCACTGGAGAGATACATTCAATTTATCAACAGTTATGGAAACTCTTTTCACTTTACTTGACAGGACATATCTCCAAGTTGGTTCTATTCCCAACGCATCCATCCATTTTGTAACCACTATATAATCCAGGGTCACAAGATTGCCAAAGCCTGTCCCAGAAAGCAACAGGCAGTAGGTGGCATTCACCCTGGACAGGACGCCAGTCCATCACAGGACACACACAGACACAGAAGTGCACAGACTCACACCTGGGCCAGTTTTTCCAGAAGCAAATTAACCTACCAGTATGTTTCTGGACTTTTGGAAAGAAACCAGAGGACTCAGAGAGAGATAAACTCTACACAGATAGCAGCCCAGTAACTGAACCCAGGGCCCCAGTGCTGCAAGGAAGCAATCCTAACCACTGTACCAACATGCTGCCCTTCCAATACATTATTAATATAACTAAATTTAAAACAAAGCAATTAAAAGGAAACCTTCTCTTAGACACTTTCCTCCCCTGTTTACTGCAGGGCCACTTTCAGGTTTGTAATCTGTCGTGGGCAGAGGGTGTTGAGGCTCTGTACATATGTGTGTCTGTATTTAGAATTATTCACACACTTGGATAAAATAATCTACTTTGATTTAAATTAAAACTATCACAACGGCACAATCCTATCTTGCATACAGTATAAAGCTGCTTTTTAAAGTATAAAGATATGAGATCGCTGATGTCACCCTCATTTCCACTACGCCTTAAAATCAGAAGCATTTTCTAAGTTAAAATCCCCCCCATAATGGCTTCGATCACATGAAACTAAAAAATACAGAAAAACTAACACATACCAATAAATATGTCGCAATGGCAACATCCTCGTAAACAAATTTTTCTGGATCTGTGACTTCAGGCCAAACCTAATACAGAGCATTAAAAAAATAGATAATAAATTAAAATGTATGTTAGTGAATCAGGTATTTTACCATACCACAATACAGCATTTGAAGGGTTATATTAAATGAATACAGTGTCCTGGTAAAGTGCCGTTAACTACTTATAGAAGAACTTGATGACTAACATTTAACTGTTTCATTAATCGCAGTAGTTTAAGTTTAAAATCCAACCATCCGTTTTCTAACACAGGGGCTTGGGGGAGCCAGCGCATGTCCCAGAAAACAACAAGTGCAAGGCCAAATACAGCCAAGCAGAACATCAGTCCATCGCAGGGCATGAAGTTAATAATATCCTATGTTTTATTAACTATTGTTTAACAGAGAAGAAATTTCTTTGTATAGATGTAAACTGAAAAGTACACTTGATTGGTTCTTATATGCCGTGCAAGGACACAGTTTACACTAAAAAAAAACATTATAGTTACTGGAAAGGACTACAAAGGTGTCTGGGGCAACAGTTAAACATTAGGCTAGTGTCAACACTCTAGTTGTGGGGAATCATCTGATTAATCTTGGTTAATTATGTTCTTTGTAAATGATTAAGAGTCCTCAACAGTTGAGGAACGGAGGATAAAAACAGGCAGTTAGGGAGACAGAGAGAAGGACACGAGAAGGAAGCACAGCAAGACAAAGGGAAAAGGAGAAGAGAAAGTGCCAAGTGGAAGGTCGTTGTTCTGATCAGTCATTAAGACCAGATTTGAGTGGAGAATATAAACTTTGCTAAAAGAGCTTTCCAGTTTTCCATTGTGTTGTTTTTCAGGAAACTTGGATTTCCTGTATAGAGAATACCTAGGATAAAAATGGCCTCATCTGGTTATTGGATGCATTTTTTGAAAAGGGAGATAGGTTTCCCATTGACTTTTTAGTATCTGGATTTACATAGATTTGCTTATTTATAGTGTAACCTGTATTTGTATGTTTACGTTGTGTCATTATTAATACAGATTTGCTTAACACAGTGTTTCCAATTTATTACTGTTTTCACCAAAGCTGCACCAAAGAACAAAGAACACAAGCAACTTTAATACCAACTGAACAGACTTTGTAACCCCCTATTGGTAACAACAATAATAATAGTTGTTAAATAATATAGTACAGCACTGCTAAGTATTCACTAGAGTGTCTTTATCCCTGGTGAGGAATATGAACAAAAAAATGTAAAAAGTTAACAATCCATTTAGTATGCACTTACTTTGACCATTGCCTTGTACTTTTCCTTTAGCTGCTGATATAAGATACTGTACTTTTCCACGGGAATAAGAGAAAGGGTGCTTTTAAATTCACTCTTGCTCTTCTCAGTGCACCACTTCACTAATTTTGGTAGCAGCTCACTGCTGAGCCATGAAAGTTTGGGGTATACCACCCCGTCAGAGTCCCAGTTCTCTGAGCTGAAGGTGGAGATGGAAATGGACCTACAAAATAAGACCAGAGGCATGGATGACAACATCATGCAAATGATATTATGTAAGAAATCATACTGAGGACATATGGAGAAAGATGTGTTGTACATGTATCCTCTGGCGGACCACACCATTGAACGAGGCGTTACAGTACTTCAATTCCTCCACTTAGGCAGCAGTTCTACCATCACCTGAAGAGAGCAATCTTACCTGCAGGTGAACCATGGCATCAAAATTGGAGGTGCTGTTTCCCATCTTCATGCTAAGTAGCTAAATGAATGAGTGCAGATTAAAGATCACATTCGGAAACCTCACAGAAGGTTTCTGAATGCTGTTTTTTTGTTTGTTTAAAAAATAATAAAGTAAAATATGTGCGTTTTTTTT